GCCAAATCTAACACACCTCTTTCGAAAGGTTACTTACCCAGGTTACACGAGTTTTTGGATTGTGAAGCGACTGAGTCACCGTATTCTAGTCATCACAACGTTCAACAATAATACTAAGGTAATTTTCTTTTGGAACTTTAGAGAAAATCTCGATAATTTTCTGCCTTGGATAAAGCATTGTTCCATTTAAGCATTCTTTAATTACAGCATGTTCTTTGTTTTCAAGTACTTTCAACTCTCCACTGGGTTTATCGAGCAAGATATCTACTTTCCACAAATTTAGATCTGTTGTGTTAACATCTGCAAACCTTTTTTGTTTTTTCACTTTAATAGCAGTTTGGAGATCATCTACAACCAAATTTTTATTAATTCTAATCAAAAAAAGGTCTTCAAGAGGGTCTTCATCTTCAACTAAACAATTTAAAGTAATAGTATTCATTATTAATTAAATCATGAAAATTTCCATAACCAAATTATTTATCGATTTTAGGTCATATCATGTGATATAACGTTTTTGTGACTATCGACACAGCAATGATCGACATGAGCACCCCAAATTTTAAACATGAATTTTAAATTTTCTTATACTGTAACTTTGAACGAAGATATTTTGAAAACTGCTAATCAAATTTAATGAACTTTTTTATTTTGATCCTACAGTGTTGTAGAATCATAATAAAAAGGTTCATTGAGTTTTGTTGGCTAGTTATCAAGTCATCTTCACTCAAAGTTCTATTAATTTTGCCACAGCTATTTAAACTGTATAAATAATGTAAGACTTAAACAGCCAATTATACGAAAGTCTGCCTATGAGCCATCTAATGCACCGCAATAATTACATTGATTAAAATAATTATTTTCATTGTTTAATTAACACTAATGTTTTGCTTTTTTGGGTTTTAGCACTTTCAAGTCTTTTTAGTAATAATTTCGTGTGAGCGTTTAAATAAATTCTCGCCAAGAAATTTTTTTTTACCTACTTTTTTTAAATCATACTGCTATACGAAAATCTAAGAACAAAATAGATATTAATATTTTTTTACTTTGTTTTTTGTTTTGTTTTTGTAAGTGTATGAAAAATTTACTAATTATTTAGCAACTTAGCAGTGAGTAATTTTAGCCATTGCTGATTAAAATAATTCATTATGTTGATTGATTGTTATTAGGTGGAGTTGTCGCTTTTCAAATAAAGAAAATTAGAAAAGTTCGACGGAAGGTTTTTATTTCATTATTTTTTGAGTTGTTTTCTAATTTTGCCGTAGTATTCTGCTGAGTTTCTTGACAGTTGGTAGAAAGTTTTATCATTGCTTCTTCATATTGAGAAATACCGGCATTATTTGGCAATTCTGAATCAGCGTTTTCATAATAACATTTATTTTCAGCATTACTAATTCAAACTAGCACCTATTGAAATATTGTGTCAGGGTTACTATACAATTTTTAAAAGCTATTTTCCCGAAAGAACTTAATACTGACTAATTATTTTTTCTTTCGGAAAAAAAAAAAAATCTATTAATTAGCAATTTGCAGTAGCATTTTATTTATTTGTAGTATTGTAACAGTATTAATAAAAATGAATTTGAGGTGTGGCGGCTTAGTGAAGTGGTCAAATCGTCACTCTCTCCAAGTAGCAGGTCTAGGGTTCAAATCCTACAGACGACGAAAGTTTGAAAAATAGGCTTGCGTTATGGTAACGGATCTTCATTAAGTTGGGGCTTAGATTAACCTG